CATGCCCATCCAAGCCCCCCTTCCGCAGGGCTGCGCGCAAGGAATACATCACGGCCAAGTACATGGAGCGACGCTACGTGCAGAAGAGCAGTCAGGACAACCCCCACAGCCTCTGGGAAGCCATTCAAGCCCGTGACCTCCTGGCCCTGCTCAAGGCCTTTGCCGATGGTCATGACCTGACCAAGCCCCTTGCCAGCCCTGAGGGTCAGGTGAGGCCTGCACCTGACAGGGAATGGATTTTCCCTCTCTAGTGTCTATGCTCTGGGTTGTCTTGGGCTTTGGGAAGGGATGTGCCGGTTGGAAGATGAGCATCCTCAGGTCCAGCTTTCTTCTCTCCTACACACAGGAGATGAAGCATTGTTGAGGCCAGCTCTCCTCTCCCTTCCATATCCTGGGAGATGAGCATACATGTGTCCGGCACTCCTTTTCCCTTCACTCAGGGGGGAAGATAAGCATTCTTGGATCCAGTCCTTCTTTTCCCTTTATCCTGAGGAAAGATGAGCATTCTCAGTGTCCTCTCCCTCTCATCCCTTGTCAGGATGCAGGCGAGCTGCCGCTGCACATGGCTGTGCGCCACGCTGACAGGTCATCTCTTCCCTTGGTGGACTTCATAATCCAGAATGGGTGCGTCCCCAAGGGCTCCCAGTGTTCCCTGCCTCTCTCCCTCATGGGAGGAATGTACAGGATGCTTGTGTCAAAGCCTTGACTTTGCTGCTGCTGGCCCTGCACAGGGGAACACTGGACCGGGTGACACAGAATGGGAACACGGCCTTGCACTATGGTGCGCTCTATAACCAGCCCAACTGCCTCAAGCTGCTCCTGAAAGGGAAAGCCACCTTCACCACAGGTATGAGCTTGGGATGTCAGTCTTGCGGTTCTTTGGTGGGAGTGGTAAGGCTGCAACTTGGATTTGTCCCCCTTTTGTCCCTTGGGCAGTGAATGCGGCAGGTGAGACAGCTCTGGATGTGGCGAGGAGGCTGAAGTACAGCGAGTGTGAGGAGCTGGTAGGTGGGATGGAGGAATGGGACAGAAGCTCAGAGTGGGGAGAGAGGACCAAGTGCCTGAGGAGGGCTGGCATGAAGATGGGGGACTTCTGGACATGTCCCTCCAGTGCCGAGACCCTTGTGGGCTGCCCCATCCTGAGATCCGCCTGACCTGCCCCATCTCTCTGGCAGCTGGAGCAGGCGCAGGCAGGAAAGCTCTCCCTACAAATCCATGTGGACTATGACTGGGAACCCTCATCAGAGTTCTCCTATGACAGTGATGATGAGCTGGAGGAGAAGGTACTGTGGGATGGTGGTGGGTACTCTGGGATGCTGGGGCCTCCACATCCCCAGTGAGGGAACTGGGGGAGCGCAGGCCCTTTTGGGGGGCTGTTGGCAGTGGGACATCCCTGGAGCTGTGTGTGTACCCCCAGGTAAGTCCTCTCCAGCGCTCCTTCAAGGGCACATCACCACTGGCTGCCAGCCCGCTGCCTGCCTGCCCCCAGACCCGCTGGAGCTGCATGGGGATGGACATCACCAACAAGACCTACGAGAGCATCCTGGTGCCCTCACGCACTTTACCCCGCCGGGCTCACAGTGAGGAGATCCCCCCGCCGCTGCCCCTCAAAAACCCTACGCGGGGCAGCTCTCGCCCCAAACTCAGCCACAGCCCCACCGGTGAGCTGGAGTGGGGAGGTCATCATGGTGGGTCTGTGCCTTCCCCCAGAGACCAAGTTTATTGTCCCCATTGCACTTGTCCCCCCAGAGCGCCCTGAACTGCCCCGGCAGGCATCAGAGCCCCACTTCTCAGGGCCAGCGGAGGCACTGGCACCACGCAGCTTGCCTTGTGCCAGCAGCACGGGCGCCCTGGATGGCACCCCCGGCACCCGCAGCCCCACCGAGAGCCAGCGGGCAGCATACTGGGAAACCTGCTCCGAGACGGACACAAGCAGCAGCCGGCGGGGGCCAGAGCTGAGTCCCCCACCTGCGCAGCCCCTGCCAGGCAGCGTGGTCGCTGACATCCCCCCTGTCAAGTTTGGGTAGGGACCCTGCTCCAGACTGGGGTCGCACTTGGTGTTGAGGGGTCATTGCACGGTGCTGGTGGGTGAGCTTCAACCTCTGCCACCCCCACGGGCATGGAGAATCGCTGTGAAGCAAAGGGGTCCCCACCCTCTTGGATCTCCAAGAACCTGATGGTGACCCTGGGATGCAGGAAGAGACAAGGGCAGCTGTGGGGATGCTGGGTTGTCCTTGGAGACAATGATGCAGATTATCTGGAGGACACCAAGATCCTCTGCAAGCTACCATATGTATTTTTTCTCTCCTTTGAGAAAATGTGGTGGGATGGGCTCATTTGAGGGAGTTTGGGTGCTGGTGACCCTTTTCATCAGCATCCAGGGGGCTGTGGGTGAGATCCAGGTCCCATGGGGGAGGCCCTGACCTCCCTGAGACCTCGCAGGGTGGAGAACAGGCTGGGGGAGGGCAGAGGGGGGTTGACACTGTTCCTACTGTCACCCACAGCTCAGAGAGCACCCGCTCGTACCGGCGCATTGGTGGCGTGGTGGGCAAAATGGGGTCAGCTGGGTCCCCCCAGAGCCCTGGTGGCCCCGAGGACCCTGCTCTCAGCAAGGTGCCCCCCATGCCCATGCCCAGAAGATTTGCTCCGGTAGGTGCAAATCCTCCTCTCTGCATCCCAAGCATCCCAGCTCCTCTTATCCTGGGGTGGCAGATGGAGTGATCAGGGGGTCATATCCCTGTTGCCACCTTTTGGATGGCTTCGGGGGGGGTCAGCCACCCCCTTTTCATCCCATTTCAGGCCAAGGGGAGGCAGAAGCGGGTAAAGGCAGTGGCTGACTGCAAGGGAGACAAGGCACGAGAGCTGACCTTCTCCAAGGGGGAGGTCATCGTGGTGACACGGGAGGAAGATGAGCAGATCTGGGTGAGTCACCATGGCACAGACGGGTGCTGGGATCCAAATCTTGGTCCTTTTCCCCCTCCAGTTCTCTTCTGAGAACTGGATTTTTCTGGGGAGCATGGATGGGGGACTTCTACCCCATGTATGCATGGAGGAGGGCTGGGAGGGCTCCACTGATGTGCCACACAGCTTTGCCTTTCTCAATCCCTGTTGGATTTGAGCAGGGAAGAAGTTCTGGGGCTGATATCTCAAGCTAAGACTTGCACTCCCCTGAACCCTCTTTCTGCACCCCCAGGTTGGCTTCATCGAGGGCGATGGCTCCCGCACTGGAGTCTTCCCTGCCAGCTTCGTCCACCTCTTGCAAGACTGACGGTGTGGGGGTGGCCCATTTGTCACTGTCCTATTGACTGGGAGTAGAGCCAGCTCCCTGCTGGGGCCTTGGTAGAGCCAGGCCTCAGGGGACATGTGCCCAGGATCCTGGCATGAGACCACTGCCCTCCAAGGGGACCCAGAGATCCTCTGCATTGGGAAAACCATCCATGGATGGCAGCAGTGGGGAGCTGAGGAGCAGAGAAGGGACATGCTCACTGCACTGGTGGGCTGAGATTTCTGTGCCAACCCCTGCTTCCACTGCTCTTCTGTCCTTCCCGTGGGCCCTGCCCATCCCTTGGGGTTTCTTCTTCCTTCTCTGCAAGGAGTTGGGGATGGGGGAGCTGTATTTGGTATCCCCCACCCTCTGTCAGATAGTCATGAAGCCTCCTTCTCATCTTGGGGGCAGCCATGGACCACCAGCCTCCTGTACCCCAACTGTGAAGCCTTTGGGATGGGCAAAAAGTAGGAGAGGGGTTTTTTTTGTGTCCATCCTCCACCCCAGGTTCTGGGAGCTGCCTGGTGGACTTCAGGGATGCTCCAAAGCCTTTCCAAAACTGGTAGTGAAATGCCATTCCTTGATTTGGAGGGCGAGGAATGTTTCAGGTGGTACCACAGAGCCCCTGCCCCATGTCCCTCATGTGGGGTGGGTGCTGGATCACTGCCCCTTCCCTGGGGGGGGCTCTCAGACGGAGTTTTGCAGCTTTTTCTAGGACCAGGATACCCCTGTACCAGTGTCCCTTGGTGTGGGACACTGGTACATGTGTATGGAGCCACCTGCCTCCATACCCCCTTGCTTTACCCTTCTAATTTTTGTGTCAAATGCTTAATCTCAAAAAAGTCTTTTTTAAAATGTTTTCTGTCTGATTTCTAATAAACCATCATTTTTAAAGTGCCTGGGAGTGTGTTGAGGGGTACAACCCCTGCCCTGGCCATCCCCATGGTGATGCTGCTGCTGTGTCCCCAAGGCTCCCAGTCACTGGGGGCAGCCGTGTAGGGCTGGGCTGGGACATGGATCCAGAGCAGGATGCTCATCCTACAGCCACCCCATGTGAGTGCTGGAGCAGGGACAAGCAGGGTGGCAGGGTTGTTGTCACCTGCAGATCTGAATGGCCTGTGCCCCATATTGCTGCCTGTCCAGCCAGGCCTGAGGGGCTCCTGCTCCCACCCCAGACTGGCACACATCCGTGCTGTGCTTCAAAGGCTGCAGCGTGTCATTTGTCATCGCACAGTCCCAGAATGTTGAAAGGGGCCTTAAAGATCGTTCTGTGCATTGCCTGATGCAGGGGGAACACCTTCCACTGGACCAGGTTGCTCCAAGCCTGTCCATCCTGACCTTGGCCCCTTTCCAGGGATGGGGTATTCTCTGTACCAAAATATTCCAATATGTGGAGTGCTCCAGTACAAGAAGTATTCTTGTATACTGGAATTTGGAATATTAGAACGCGTATTTGGAATATTGTAATTGTATACTGGAATTCCTGTACATACTCCAATGTGCGGAGTATCAAGATTATTCCCCCGGGGATCTTGCTGCTGGATCAACTTCGGGAAAAGCAGAGCTTGCGGCACCCTGCAGTGTACCCTCGGGGCCGCCCCGGGGATGCCCTGCCGAAGGCGTCCCGCGGGCAAAGCCCCACGCCGGGCTCCGCGCACCTCCCCCGCCCTCGCCGCCCAGCTTCTCGGCTATATTTAACCCTCCCCCGTGGTATTTCGCTTTCCTGGCAGGAGTTGCTAGCTGGCCGGGACAGCCCCACCTCCTTTCTGCTTCTGTCCCTTCCCTCCCCGACCCTTTCCCCTTTCCCCTTGCCCCTCGTCTCGGCTCCCTCCGCCCGGCTGCCAGGCCCATGTCAGCAGCGCCCCGCGGTGCCCGCAGCCCGCGCCCTGCTCCGCTGGAGCCATGGGGCCCGCTGAGGAGCTGCTCCGGATCGCCAAGAAACTGGATAAGATGGTGGCCAGGAAGAGCACGGTAAGGCGGCCCAGCTCTCGGGGCGTGCGCGCATTTTTAAACATATTTGCACGTGTGCATATTGACACGCATGCTTATTTACACACGTGCTCGCCTGCATGCATGTTTGAATGTTGCGTGGCTTGGGAAAGGGGGGGGTTGCTTTCCACACCCCTCATGTTGTCCCTGGAGGCGCTGAGTGGTTTTAAGGGGTGCTGCCTGTCTCACCCAAGCCCAGGCGCAAGACATCACAGCGCCCAAGGGATTTAATTCTGCCTGTAATTTGGGGCTCTCCTGTACCCCACTGCTCCCAGCCACTGGGATTTGGGGGCAAGGGGGCATTCGTCCCATGGGTGGCAGCTCCTGACACTGCTTGGCGGTGCCGGATTGTGGGCGACAGGTGTTTGGCCCCCAGCCTGTGCACCAACACCCGATCAGTGCCAGGGCCAGAGGCTCGTGTGCAGGCAAGGAAAAGCTCTGGGCTGGGGGATGCAGCACCCTCAGCGCACCCTCAGGCACAGCCCTGCCTGTTGCACAAGTGCGCGAAGGGAGGGGAAGGGGTCAGTCACTGTTTCCTGCGTGGTTTTGTGGCTGTGTTCTGGGGAAGCCGGGATCCAGCCCTGCCACCCTTGTGCCAGCTGAGGATCTGGGGATCCTGGTGAGCCAGTTACACGTGCCAAGCCCAGCTCTCAGAGTTAATATTTGACTGTTTCCACTGGCCTTTGCCCTGAGGAGGTGCAGGCTCCTGGCTGGGGGACAGCATTGCCGTCTCCGTGGATCTGGTGGCTTTTTGGGATGCCAATGCTTGGTATCAAACCAGATCCCATGGCTTGCTGCCAGGAAATACCCAGGGGTCAAGAGACAGGGATTTTCCACACCTCTTGTGCTGCACTTTGGGATGGGACAGAGCCAGGGTCAGCACCTACAGTACAGAAATGTCCCTGCACCCATCAAATCGTAGGGGGGTCTGATCCAGCCCTTCATGGTGGGAGTCCATGGAACAGTGTCCTGGGGCGGGATACCTGGGAGCTGGTGTCTGCTGCTGGGGCTCTAAAAATACCAAGGATGAGGAGGAGGAGAAAGAGAGGGAAGAGGAGGAAGGCTCTGTGCTGACTGTCTTTATCTTAGCTGCCACTGCAGGGTATGAGAAGGAAATCCTGGGGCTTGTGTCCCATGGACCTTCACACCCCTGGGAAATCCCCCAGCTGTCCCTAGCTCCCACCAGCCCAGATTTTCCTTGCAGATGGGGCTTTTCCCAAGTTTTAAGAAAAGCTCGTGCTATCCAGCTGGAGATGTGACCGCGTTGCTGGGATGGTCCAGCAGGATTTGGGTGTGGGACTTTTCTATTGGCATGAGAGGGTCAGGTAATCCCAGGGAGCAGCCCAGGGCTGCTTTGGGTTCTCCGGTCATGCCCTTCCTGGTGCTGCCTGGTGCCTCCTCAAGGGCTCCTGTGGCTTCTCCCTGCTGTAGGAGGGGGTACTGGATCTGCTCAAATCCCTTACCGGCTACACCATGACCATCCAGCTGCTCCAGGTGAGGGATTTTGGGTGGGGGGACACCCCAAGGGGTAGCTTGTCCTGTGCCCTGTGCCAGCCAGCACATCCCTAAGGATGTGTCCCTGGTGTGTGTCCCCAGACCACACGGATTGGAGTAGCTGTGAACTCAGTGAGGAAACATTGCTCAGATGAAGAGGTGGTGGCCTCAGCCAAACTTCTCATCAAAAACTGGAAGCGGCTTCTGGGTGAGTGATGCTGGAGGGAGATGAGAACCCCCCCAAAGCTTCAGTCCTCCCTGGGCCATCCTTGCACCTCAAGCCCCAATGCTTTCTGGGGGGATAGAGTGAAAACAGTCCAGAGCTAGGAGGTACAGCCTCCTATAACCCATAACCCAGATTTTCCAAGGGCTTGTATAGAGTGGTATAAATCAATGTGTGCCCCACCAAGGGCTGAGCATTTCCACAGTCATTCCCCACCCCAGGATGCACCTCCGCAGGTGCCTTGTGCGGATTTGGGTTGTGACTGTGACACCCAAATCCTTCCTCCAGAATCCACCACCACAAAAAAAGAGAAGGATGCAGATAGGAAGAAGGAGAAGGACGCAGATGGAGACAAGGAGAAGAAGGGGCTGGATGTTTCCAGCTGCCCCAGTGAAGGGGTGAAGCACAGCAAGAATACAGCTGAGAAGCACAGGGAGAAGCACAAGGAGAGGTGAGGGCTCCTGCCTGCTGTTGGGGGACATTAGAGCAAATATGAGACCACCCTCTGCTTGGTCTTTAAGAGTTTATCCATTTCTGCCTACCCATGGATATCGGCAGCACCTCTGGAGACCAAGCTACCTCTGGGACAGCACCAGGCCAGTTTTTGAAGGAGGGAGAAGTGGCCATTTTTTATTTTCCCTAAAACTAATTATTCCTTGCATGATGTCATTTTGGACATTGCTCATCTGACCCCTGCTTTCTCTATCCCTAGGAAGCCCAGCAAGTGCAACTCTCATGCCACCACCACCCAGGGCCACTCTGCCGATTGCAGCCCAGAGAGGTACCTGCTGAAGGATGCCCTGACCCTCATGCCAGGCTCTGCCAGGCACTGCCAGCCCAGGGGAGGCTTTGCTGGCAGCCTGGGGTGGGGCTGAGGGATGGGGGATGCAGATGGACAAGATCCAGCTCACAGGTTGCCAGAGTATGCTGGGTTTGCTGAGAGCTTCTCTCCCTTCCTTTGGGCCTCTGTGGTGAAGAGAGTCCAGTGATGGCCAGAGCCCCACTGCATCCTCCAAGAAATCACCCCTGGATGGCAAGAAAGAGAGGTGGGTGCTGGGCTGGATGAAGATGGGAGAGGAGAGACCCTAGCCCCTCACTGGGTTGTGGTTGGGGGTGTAGACCCAGCAGTTGTCCTAGTCGCGGCCCTTGTCCTGCCAGGAGAGCCTCTGCTGACTCCAGGTCCTCAACTGTCTCTTCCTCTTCCTCCTCACAGAAGAGACTGTCAGGGGAGAGGTAAGGACAGTGTGTCCCCGGGCAACATGGGGATGTTCTTAGGGTCCCCCCTGGGGATACCCCAACCATGGAGGGGGTGACAAGTGGCTGGGAGCCCTGATCCTGCCACAGCACTGGGATATTCCCTGGGAGGAGCAAATCCTCCCCTGGGGAGATTCCTGTTGGCTTCGGAGCAGCGCTCTCATCCTTGTGCTGATGCTTGAGGTCCTGTCACCAGTCCCTGCCCCCTGTCCTGCCTGCCCTGTCTCTGGTGCCATCCTGTTCCCTACCACTCCCAGGAGAGCCTCTGTGGGCACCAGCCTCTCTCCAGCTCCCAGCAGCTCCCAGAGGAACTCCAGTGACAGCAAGGAGGAAAGGTAGGAGAGAGGAGGAAAGGTAACAGAGACCCACTGCCCTTCCAAGGGACCCCAGCAGGTCCCTGTGGCTGTGCCAGGACCCCACCACCTGCCCGTGACCCTCCATGTGCCTCTGCAGAGCCAACAGCAGCAAGGTCAAAGCCGAGGTGCCACGAAGCCCCACCAGCCCCTCCTTCTCTCCCAGCCCCTGCTTCCTGGCCCCCTGCTATCTCACAGGGGACTCGGTGCGGGACAAGTGCATCGAGATGCTGACAGCTGCACTGCGCATGGATGGTGAGCAGTTCTGAGCATGCTGGACCACATTTTGGGCTGTTTCTCCTATGGGACATTCCCGGTAGAAACATTCAGCCCCAAAAGAAAAGAAAAGGAGGTTGGGAGGGTCTCTGATAAGGGGGTTGGATGTGAGGATGCATCTTTGTAAGGTTCAGGATGGGTAAAACTAGGTATTTTAGAGATAGAGTGTCTGGGGCAAGTACAGGGGGAGAGGTGAGATTTTCTAGGGGAGGTACAGTGAGACCTGTGGCTGGTTTCACACCTGAAGGTCACCCCTTAACCTCTCTACCCTTTAGATGACTACAAGGAGTTCGGTGTCAACTGCGAGAAGATGGCATCGGAGATTGAAGACCATATCCTTTGTGGGGCTTGGGGTCCCTAGGCTTCATCTGCTGGGGGAGTATACCGGGCTCAAGAGGGCTGCTGGGGAGAGGACAGAGGGTGACAGACTCTGCTGTGCTCGTTGCCTGCAGAGGGAGCCCAGACCTCAGTCAGAGGATGCTGAGGCTGAAGCTGATTATAAGCAAAGCATCTCCTGAGCACCCGCCTTCGTGCAGGGGTCTGTGTGTCCCCCCCAGTCCCCTCTGGTCAGGGACCTGCCTTCATCCCTGGGGAAATAAATCCAAACCCACCCAAAGCTTTTTCCATGAGCCTGCGGTAGGTGCCTGTGTCTCCTGACAGTCTGTAACAATGTCCAGGCTGCACTATGCTGGAAGGGATGGAGCCACCTCTGCCCACCCCCAACTCAAGGCTTGGGGTTCTCCTGGCAGCCCCCTGAGACCAGGACCAAGCCCAGGGGGGTTCACCTCCTGGGTGCTCTTTTTGGTGCCTCCCAAACTCTGTGCCCAAAGCTGCTACATCAACCTGTCCATACCCATGTTCTTTGGGAGGAGGGAATAGACAGAGTCCTCTGCACCATGAACTTTTGTCCCAGCACAGGGCTTGGTGACAGTCCCTGACCCCCATATCCTTGCCTGGATGTTTGACATTCCAAGGCAATGCAAAGTCATTTTCCTCCCCACATCTCAAGCTGTGCTTCATCCTCTTAAAGCCAAGGATGGGGATACTTCCTACGGGGAGGAAAGCCCCACTGAGATCAGCCACCTCCACATGACCATTGGCCCTGGTGACAGCAGCACCCACGCTGGCATCCCCCTGTCTTGATTCCTTGACAGACCCCACATATCTTCCAGGAGCTGAAGAGCACAGACATGAAGTATCGCAACCGGGTGCGGAGCAGGATCAGCAACCTGAAGGACCCCAAGAACCCTGGTCTGCGGAGGAATGTTCTGTGTGGGGCCATTGAGCCCAGCCTCATCGCCCGCATGACTGCTGAGGTGGGCAGTGGGGTGTGTGGGGCTCTGCCCTGGATCTCTTCCATGCTGCCTCTGTGGTGCCCAAGTTCTGGGTCTTGGCTTGTTCACAGTGAGGGTGTCCCAGCACCTCTCTGTGCCACCCCAGTGCTGAATGAGACACGGGGAGCACTAGGGGAAAGCTGGCAGTACTGCTAGGTCCCCTTAAAGCCCTGCAGACCCCCAGCCCATCACAGATCTGGCTGTGGGATGTCACACTGGCAGGAATCAGGCGGGAGTGTCCCCATTTGTCCTCCTCAACCAGGGTTCACAAATCAGGCTCCTCAGAAGCCCAGTTTCCCCTGTGAGAAGACAGATCCCTGCAGGTAGCATTTTTAGTTTGAAGATGGGGTGAGTTTTTCCATCTGGATGGGTCTGAGCCCTCCAGCAAGCACAGACAGCAGGATTAATCCTGTTTTGGGAGAGGATGGGGAAGGTGTTGGACTGTGGTACTTGGATGTGAGCAGAGCCATGGCCACACTGACCCATGCGGGCCAATGCTGGTGGCAGGAGATGGCCAGCGATGAGCTGAAGAAGCTGCGGAATGCCATGACCCAGGAGGCCATCCGGGAGCACCAGATGGCCAAGACAGGTGGCACCGTCACCGACCTCTTCCAGTGTGGCAAATGCAAGAAGAAGAACTGCACGTACAACCAGGTCAGGCCTGGTCTGCAGGGGACCTTGGCTTGGGGGATGCTGTAAGGGTCTGCACTGACCCCGTGCTGCTCCACCCCAGGTGCAGACGCGCAGCGCTGACGAGCCCATGACAACATTCGTGCTGTGCAACGAGTGTGGGAACCGCTGGAAGGTCTGTAACCATCTGGGGAGAGGCTCTGGGCAGCCCACCCCTTTCCTAGCCTTCAGGGGTGGCAGAGCCCCCTGAAGTGGTGCCTTTGGGTGCTGGGTGAGGGCTTATCACATGCCCTGGGCTCTGCTTCTCCTGCAGTTCTGCTGATGCTGCTGGCGATTGGGCTGGAGGGAGCATGGTGCAAGACAAGATGCTGTGACACCACACTGGGCAGCTGGGTTGGGAAGGAGGGGTCAGGGTGGCACCAGTCCCTAAACCCCAGCTCCTTATTTCCTTGCACTGGGCTCCCTCAAACATCCTGGGGACCTGGCCTCCAGCAATCAAGTTGACTCAAGAAGGTCCCTGTGAATTCAATGGTTCTTCCCTGCAAATATCTGCCCTTTGATTGGGGTGTGCTGGGATCCAACTGGGAACAGACACATTCCTGGAAAGGGAGACTGGTACAACCTAGGCGGTATGACCTTCCTTTAAAAAAATTAGGATTTTGATGATTTGGGGGCAGGAGAAGCATTGCTCCATGGACATGGGGCTGTGCCTGGGAGCTGAGGGTGGCAGAGGGCCAGGTTTTAACCCAAACACCTTCTTCCTCACCTAAGTGCACACAGAAGGAGGGGAGAGACATGGCAGGGACAGGGTGGGTGCAGGATATCCAGATGCTGTTGGGATGCCCCTGTGCCCCTCTGCTCTGTGACAAATGGACCATCCATCCTGGCTTGAAGGCAGCGTGTCCCAGGAAAGAAGGAAGGATGGCAGGGAGAGGAGTGAGGAATAACCCTTCCAGCCAGAGTAATAAAGGTGTGAACTATCTCTGCAGCACAGACTGTTTCCTAAGATGTGTTTGGAACCTCTGTCTTGATTTTATAGCTCCCCAGCTTGAGCCTCAAGGTCATCCAAGATCCAACATGTATCTCAAATCCACCAGCCCCAGCTTGGGATACAGCAATGGCTTGCTGCTCATCCATCACCTGACTGGTGATTAAAGACCTTTAATTAAGGCTGGAGCAGCTCCCTGGTTTGGTCTGGATGCTGCAGGCTGTCCCCATGGCAGGGCAGAACTTCCACCAACAGCAGGAAGCACTTAGTTTCATTCTCATCAGCTAGAGGGGTGGAACCATAGCTGCACCAGCAAATGCTGATGTTGGTCCCCCCTGCCTTCTGTGGGCAGGAGGTCCAGGCAAGAGCACTCAGGACCTCTCCTCAGCTCCAGCTCCACGTGGGGCTGGTCGTGACCATGCAATGATGGAGAGGCCCTTGTGGTCCCTGCCAGGGGTTGATTTACCCACACCGAGGCTCCAAGTTTGGATGCTCCAAAGCATCCTCTGCACCAACAGAGGTGGGTGTCTCTTCCTGCCTCTCCCTGCCCATCTCTGCATGAATCAGAATCATTTCAGTTGGAAAACACCTCCAAGATAATTGAGCGCAACTGCTCTCCCAGCACTGCCAAGCCCACCACTAACTACATGTCCCCAGTGCCACATCAACACATTTTTTAAATCCCTCCAGGTGACTCCAAGGAGATGCTGAATCTTCTATCTGATGGAGTTTTTATATTGAACCTCCAACCTGCAACACTTTACACAATCCTACAGGGTGTCCAACTCCAGCCAGGCTTCCCCCTGAGGGGACAGCCACTACTGGTGCTGCCAGACCACATCCCTTCCCCAAGGACTGCCCTCAGCCACCTCAGGGACACCCTGTTCCATAGAATCTGGCACATGACCAGTTTTACTTTGCAATCCTGACTTGCCCAGGGGTCACCACCCCCCATACTCCAGCCCTTCCAGCTCTCCTGCAGCACGAGGCTCTGCTGCTGCCCTTCTCCCCCGCATTTTTCCAGCCTTGAGAAAACAATCAGAACTTTGCTGTTCTGTGGTTTCCTTGGCAACCCCATTTCCCCATCCTCTCACTTTATGCATCTGTAACTCCCCTGGCCCTGGTCAGCGACCCCCAAAGCACAGTGGCAGGTCCCTGTGCACAGGGATGGAGCAGGAGATGATGTGTCGTATCCACAACCAGGACAGCTGATCCTGGAGGGACCCTCTGCCAGGGCTTCCCAAGCACCTGGCTTGGGAAGGAATGGAGTAGCTGCTGGAAGGAATGGAGTAGCTGCTGGTGGTTCATGTCTCTGAATTAAAGCAGGTTTGGAGCCAGTCTTTACCTCTCTGTGTGGGTCCTAGTGCTCCTGCTGTGCACAGGGTACCTGGAGAAGCTGTGCCTGCCCCATCCCTGGAAGTGTCCAAGGCCAGGCTGGACAGTGCTTGGAGCAACCCAACCTAGTGGAAGGTGTCCCTGCCCATGGCAGGGGGTGGAATGAGATGAGATTTAAGGGCCCTTCCAACCCAAACCATTCCATGATTCCATGACTGGCAGCTGCTGCGACAAACTGAGCAGATTCCCCTGCCCATTCCCGTCCTTACTTCCAATCAGTAGGTAGTGATCCCTTAGGCACAGGTGCTCACTGACTCCCCAGACCTCAAACCCACATGCAATATTTATCTGGTGACAGCTACAGGCTCTTGGCATGATTCACTTTGCTGTCATCAGTAGACAAGGTTCAGATCTCCTGGGAAAACCACCCATCACTCCCGCCTTGCACTGCAGCCTCTCCCACAGGTGATGACACCAGGGTCGTGCTCAGCATGGTGGGCACAGGGCAAGGGGACAAGAATTGGGCTGACTTCCTTTAAAAAGCAGGAAAATACAGCCCTGGGGTGGTTTAGGGAGGGCAGGAATGATGCAGAGGGTGCTGTGTGGGTTGGGGGGAGTCCGGAAAACTCCCTGTGCCTTGGTGACCTGGGAAATATGCCCAATGTGCCCTCAATACTTGAACTCCAACAGCTCTTCCCCAAATCCCAGAAGATGGATCAGTACCTCAAAAGCTGAGCAGACCCAGCACCAGCCTGGTACTTGATGGAAATGAAAGCTAGAGCTGTAGAGATCCTAAAGTTTTTAGGGAAACCTCAGCTGCTGCACTTACTTTGAGCTATGGCTCAGCCAAAGCCTTAAATGCTGGGCTTTTTATTCAGTTTTTGTTTTCATAAAACCCTATGAACTGGTTTTCCTAAACACAAGGTGCTGCCTCTGCTACAAGGGCAGGAGAAGATGGGGAATGCAGGGTCTGGATTCCATAGGGGTCGTTGTGGAAGGATGCAGGGTTATGGTAGTCCCTAAACACCTGGAGGAACCAGGCAGAGCTATCTGGCAGGACATTCCCAGCATTGAATGACACACAAATAGCACTGAAATAGGAGGAAAAAATTGCTGAGCCTCCTTCTGGTTCCAGCCCCAGGTTGGGATACAAATGGAATTTCCTTTCTCTTTCCTTGTTTTGTCTTGATGTGGGTGATTCAATTGCTTTGGAGCAGCTCTGAAAAAATTAGTGATTGCCCAGGACAGCCACATGATCCAGCCTGGATCTTCAGCCAAGCCAAAATACTTGGAGCAAAGCCATGGATTTGAGCTGACTGGGCATTTGCTTTGGGGTGTTTTTCGTGGAGAAAAAAGAAAAAAAA